ACATCATAAAGCATCATATGCATCCACTAACCATTTCAAGGGTTTGGATCTTCATCTCTGTTCTTGTTTTGTAGGTCATGGAATCTCTTCGCAGGAAAACAGTTCAAGTCAACCTTGTGAGAATCCCTCCTCAACTCAAGGAGCTTACTTCCAAGATTCCAGAGAATTCTCTCTTCAGTGAAAGACATGGTAGACTTCTCAACTTGGTTAACTCCAACATTGAAGAAGACATGGTGAAATTTCTCTTCCAGTTCTTTGACCCCCTACACCACTGTTTCACATTCCCTGGTTACCAACTAGTACCTACTTTGGAGGAATTTTCTCAACTCTTGAGAATTCCTATTCTTCATCAACTACCCTACAACGGTACGAAAAAAGAACTAAAGCCTGAAGATGTTTCTCAAGCATTACACTTGCAACTATCTGACATCAAAGGACATTGGGAAACCAGAAGTGGTGTCAAGGGTTTCTTGGCAAAGTTTCTGTTTGCGAAGGCACAAGACTGCTGGAATTCTCTAGATCTACAAGCCTTTGAGGAGATTGTAGCACTACTCATCTATGGGTTGGTCTTGTTCCAAAACCCTGATCAGCTTATAGATTTGAATGTTGTCAAGATTTTCATATCTCGGAATCGTGTACCTACACTGCTTGGGGACATCCAACACTCATTTTACACACGAACAATGAGGAAAAGAGGTGTTCTCATGTATTGTACTCCTCTTCTAGCAAGGTGGTTTATTTCTCACCTTCCCCAGTCAGTTTTGAAGAATGAGCAGGGTTTAAGGTGGTCACAACGATTGATGACCTTAACACATTCTGATGTTCATTGGTGCTCTCGGTCCAGAGAAAATGTCATCATCATTGATTGTTGTGGGGAATTCCCTAATGTCCCACTACTTGGAATTAGGGGAGGCATTACCTATAACCCTTGTTTAGCTCTAATACATTTTGGATATGCTCGGAGGGATGGCCCTCATGACATGTTGATTCCTGACTTGGTTTTTGACTTCGACAATGATGCGCAAGGACTTCGACAAAGATTCATCAGAGCTTGGAGGATACCCAACAAGGTGGATAGTAAGACATTGGGGCACAAGAATTCCATCCCCCTTGAGCCTTATCTTAAGTGGGTACGAACCCGCGCCCAGAATGAGAAAAACAGGTGTTCTTATGTGTTGTACTCCTCTCTTGGAAAGATGGTTTATTTCGCATCTTCCCCAATCTGTATTGAAGAATGAGCAAGGTTTAAGATGGTCAAAAGGTTGATGACGCTCAAACATTCAGACATCCATTGGTGTTCCTGATCTATAGAGAATGTTACTATTATCGACCGTTGTGGAGAATTTCCTAATGTCCCTTTACTTGGAATTAGGGGAGGCATCACCTACAACCCTTACTTAGCCTTAAGACAGCTTTGTTACACCCGAAGGGATGGCCTGCACGAGATGCTAGTTCAAGGTTTGGTATTTTACTACAATAATGACGATCAAGGTCTTCGCCAGAGATTTATTCGAGCTTGGGGGATGTTGAACAAGGTGGATAGCAAGACTTTGGGGCATAAAAATCCCATCCCTCTTGAGCCTTACCTCAAATGGGTATGAACTCGTGCTCAGAGTCTTATGATGCTTTATCCCTCCATCCTCCCGGTAATCATTGAGCCCGTCATGGAAGGAGATGTTCCATACAATATCCTACATCTTGACATGTCTACCTCTCTTAAAGACCTACAAAGAGATTGGATACAACTCAAGGGGGAGAGAGATACTTTCGAAGCCCAATTCTACGCAAGAGAGAAGAAGGTTTTGGAACTCACTAGACTACTTCATGAGGAGCAGACTCTGAATGCCTACATTTCACCAAAGAGGATGCGTACTACTTTTTTATCTTAGATTTTTTTGTATTATTTTTCCCAAGAAGGCATTGATGTACTCAAACTTTAATATAACGTGTGTTTCCTTTTTGTCTAAAACAAATTTGATCCTTAAGATCCTTGAAATCATTGCATATGCATTTATCATTCATCATAACATAAGCAGGTTTCTTGCAACAAGTCTCCTCATCTCTCTACTATTTATTTTGTTAAGATGGATATCGAGAAAACGGTGAAGGACATCCAAGCTCAGAATGCACAGTTTTAACATTTGAACTTAACTCTGGCCAAAGGAAAAGAAGAGTTGAAGACCTTGCTGGTTGAGGAGAAGAAAAAGAAGACGAAGAAAATAACTGAAATTCTGAACATAGGAAGAAGATTCCAAGGGCAGACAAGAAGGGCCTTAGGCTTTGCAACGACATCCAGTGAGAAAGACAATCAAGACGAGAAAGGCAAGGAAACAGTTGTTCAGTCTGATTCAGAAGAGGAAGAGGAATAAGAAGACTATTCTGAAGAATAATACCCTCTAGCCGATGACAAGTATAAGCATCTAGAAGAACGATTGAGTGCAATGGAAATCCAAAAAGTGCCTGGATTGGCCTTTGAAGAGTTGGGTCTGGTATCAGGAATTGTCATTCCTCCAAAATTCAAAGCACCTGTTTTCGCCAAATATGATGGATTTTCATGCCTGAAAATGAATCTCCGGTCCTATGTGAGGAAAATCCAGCCCCATACCGCTGACAAAGATTTATGGGTACACTTCTTCCAAGAGAGTCTGTCTGGAACTCAACTTGATTCGTTTTATTAGTTAGAAAGAGACAATGTTCATAACTGGGAGGATCTTACTATATCCTTTTACAAACAATACCAATACAATGCTGATCTTGCGCCTACCCGTACTCAACTCCAGAGTATGGCCATGGTTTCAAGTGAGGGCTTCAAGGACTACGCGTAAAAGTGGAGGCATTTAGCCAGAACAGTTCAACCTCCCCTATCGGAAAGAGAGTTGGTATACATGTTTTTGGGCACCCTGTCTGGTCCCTTCTTTAATCACTTAATTGGGAGTTCATCGGCAGGTTTTACTGAATTGATATTGATCGGAGAAAGGGTAGAAGTTGGGATAAAGAATGGAAATATTCAAAAAGATACATCCTCCGCTGCTGTAAGGAAGCCATTCATCAGAAAGAAAGAATTGGTTGTTGTATATCCTCAGAGAAATCAAGATAGGGCTAAACACCGTCCAATGGTGGGGGCTGTCATGATTCCTAAACCTACACCTGATCAACAAAGAAATAACCAGCCTAGAATGGAAAGACCATTCAGACAATTCACCCAAATTAATATCATGTTATCTCAAGTATTGCCACATCTGTTAAGATCCAATCTAGTGACCTTGAAAGAAGCTCCAAAGAACCCTAACACAACATCTCCTCACTATCAGCCTAATGCTCGTTGTGCATACCACTCTAAGATTCCCGACCATGACACTAATAATTGTTGGGCTCTGAAAAACAAAGTACAAGACCTCCTTGAAGCCAAGGAATTTGAATTCGATGCGCCAGAAAAGCCCAATGTCATTTCTGCCCCTATGCCCAAACATGGCCATAATGCCAACGCTATTGAGGAAGATATGTTTGTTACTTCAGTTGATGAACTTATGACCCCACTCCTGACTATCAAAAAGAACTTATTGAATGTCGGTGTAGTCCCAGGCTGTGATGAAGGATGTTATTCATGTTTGACCTCACCAACTAGCTGTCCTTTGTTGAAAGCGTGCGTTCAGTGCCTAATAGACAACAAAGACATTTTGTTCGAAAAGACTTATGTTCCAACTGTTTCTTATAATGATGTTTCCATCGTGACCATTTCTGACAATTCTTCCAGGGTCTCCACCAAAAGACCCATTAGAATTACATCAATTCCAAAAGTAGCTCCTTTGATAATTACAAAGCCTGGACCAGTCCCGTATTCGCCAGACAAAACCGTACCATGGAATTATGGAGGGGATGTCTACTACCACGGTATCAAGCAAGATTGGGCAGCTGCCAAAGATTCAAGTTCTGAGAAGGATGATTCCAATATCAGTAATATTGCAGGGACTAGCAAGATTACCCGAAGTGGAAGGATATTATCTCCAAAAATTGCTCCCTCAAAAGCAGTTTCTGGACCTGTAATCATTCATGTTGTTGTTTCTCCTCCAAAGGCTGTTCCCAGTCCTACAATCATCTCTGCTAGTACTCCAACTGAAAAAGCTGATACAACCCCTGTTATTACTTCTACTGACATTCCTGCTGCTGAGTCAACTGAAACTCGAGGTAAAAGTATTCTGATTGAGCCTGTCTAGACGAAGGCACAATCATTGGCTATCCCTGAGACCTCCCGGAAAGAGATGGAGGAAATTATAAAGATCATAAAAAGAAGCGACTATGATGTAGTTGAGCAACTGGGGCAAACTCCATCTAAAATTTCCATGCTGGCTTTACTACTATGTTGCGAGGCACATGCAAAGGCCTTGGTAAAATTCCTGAAAACTGCCCATGTACCCCAAGAAACATCTGCCGATCAGTTCCAAGGCTGCATAGCCAGCTTGACTGCAGATAATGGCTTAGGTTTTTCAGATGCTGATTTAACATCAAGAGGGAGGAAATATAATGAGGCATTACATGTCTCAGTGGAATGTAGGGGCACAACCTTAGCTCATGTTTTGGTGGACACTGGTTCGTCTCTGAATGTATTGCCTAAAAAGGCTCTTGATAGGCTTGACTGTGAGGGATTGACTTTGAAACCAAGCAACATAGTAGTGAGAGCCTTTGACGGCTCAAAAAGGATGGTGCATGGGGAAGTGGATATCCCCATAAAGGTTGGAACCCAAACATTTGATTCAACTTTTTATGTAATGGATATTCGCCCTTCACATTCCTGCTTGCTAGGCCGACCGTGGATTCATAATGTTTGCGTTGTCACTTCTACGCTGCACCAAATGTTGAAATATCCCATCCAAGGGATGATTATCACTGTTCATGGAGAAGAAGAGTATATGATCAACCATCTCAATTCCTTCAGATATGTGGAATTAGATGGTGAATTTATTGAAACTCCATTTTAGCACTTTGAAGAAGTCCTGTAAGATATGGCGGTGACCAAGGTTGTGTCTCAAGTTCCCAAGATCACAAGGCCTCCGCTCAAGATGTCGTCTTTGAAGGATGCCAAGGCAGTGATAGAAGAAGGTGGGTGTACTATTTGGGGATAACTCCCAGATATCCCATACAAATCTGACAAGTTTGGCCTGGGTTTCACTCCAGGTGCCCAGAAGGTTGTATGTCGCGCTCGTGCCATAGGACCACCCTTGAGGATCAGCAACCGTGAAGTCAATGCGGTGGAAAATGATGAAGACAGCTACAACTTGGAGGATTGGATTTTCCCAACTGTCAGTGGAGGGCTCAGCAATTAGGAGGCGGAGATTTCGTCCCGATCACTTTTATCCCACAGTAATTTGTCTTTACATTTTGTTGGATCTGTAATATTAAAATAATTCAGACTCTTAAAACCTTGTGTCTTACCCGAGGCACAATGGTCCATTTGTAAGGGTTATCATCTCATTTCCATATGACATCAATGAATCATGGACATTTTTGCATACAAACTTTGTGCTCATTCACTACAACATTTGTTGTCTCTGGCAACACTTTTTTAGGTAACAGGTAGAAATTGTTGCCTTAAATTCATATAGGCAACGATTTACGATTGTTGTCAAAAATATGTTTGCAACCCTTGATAATCATCGCCTAAAATACTTTTGGGGACGTTTATGGAGCGATACTCTTTTATTTTTTTGCCAACAGTTGTTAATTGTGCCCTTAACTGCTTTTAGGGACGATTTTAGAGCGTTAAAATATTATTTCTTTAGCAATGTTTGACAATTGTCCCCTAAAATATTTTTGGGGACATTTTTAGATTGTTACATTAGTTTTAATAAAAGGCTACATTTCTGAAATGTTGTATAAATTTTTTTAGAATTATCAAATTTTTGGTGGCAATCTTCCCTCCAAAACTTATACACTAAAAAACAAATATTTTTCTCTAAACATTATTAATATATATAAAAAAAATATTTTTCTAACACAGGAATTTAAAAATAAAAAATTTCAATTAAACAGAAAATAAAAAATTATATATATATATATATATATATATATATATATATATATATATATATATATATATATATATATATATATATATATATATATATATATATATATATATATATATATATATATATATATATATATATATATATATATATATATATATATATATATATATATATATATATATATATATATATATATATATATATATATATATATATATATATATATATATATATATATATATATATATATATATATTAGTCTAAAACTTATATATATTTCAATTAAATAGGAATTTTTCTATTTTTAATAGAATCTTTTTTCTTTGTTATCACACAACAAGAACCCACAACTGAGTAACCCACACCAATCTCCCTCTTCTCTCTTCCTAACACCCAATCAACAAAAACAGTAACCACCCCTCTTCTTAATCATTTCTCTTCTTCTACACAACAAACAATAACAACACATCATACCATTACTCCCCATCAAAACCCAACACGAATCAACATACTCCCTTTCGTTTCCCCTTCTACTCACAGCGTCGTTACCCTTCACACATCACTGTAACCCACTTTATTCTATCTTCCGCTCACGAATCCCTCCACCCTCGATTTCCACCCTTACGAACAATTGCAACAAACAACAATCTACCATCGTTAAGGAACCGGTTGGGATTGTATATTCAGAGAACTCTTCAAACAGTAATAATTTGCTTCGAGGTATATTCTCGATTCTTCCTTTGGTTTGATTATTTTTGTTAGAAAGAGTAAAGAAATAATAAACGGAAATAATGAACAACCAATGAGCCATACTCGATAATTTTCCCCTACCATTTTCTTTCGGGGTTCTGTTTGTTGCTTTTTAATTACTGTCTATTCTAATTGTTTGGTTGACCTAGATTTGTACTTTGTGAAAACAGGGGAACGTGTAGTATCCAGGGTATTGTCAGCTACGAATGAGGAAGGTCGAGTTAAAGGGGAGAACTCCATCGAACATGTCACATATGAGGAAGTTTGCTATATGGAGGAAGGTGAATCTTCTGCGTCTTGTCTACTTGGAAGTTGCAATGATCTATGAAATATCGCTGCAGCTTCTCTTTCATTTACTTCATGGTGATAGATGGTTAACCTGGACAGTCTTTCTTATTTCTGCCTTGTACTTATTAAATGTTTTTAGATTATTTTGCATGCTGAGGCATTTCCCAATTGAATCTAAAGGGAGAAGAAAGAAACTTCATGAGGTATGAGCTCTTTCTTCTCAGTGTGTCTATTTGATAGAAAGGGGCTTAATTTCTTGCATTTGTAGTAAGTCCAAAATCACTTCCAGTTAACTCAAAATGAAAGATAGCTACTTAACTGTCTGTTGAGACCGTGAACGAGAAGACCACTATCTAAATTCGCCAATCCCATAACATGTTTCTCTCTTGCCTTTGTTCATCGTCATACTTATAGGATAAACCATGTGAACCCTTTACCTCCGTTACCCGTTTCTTTATCTCATGTCTAGTTTTTCCTATGTGAAATTCAAAATATGACTCACTGCTGAATCTTCAAGCAAATGATGGGCAGGAATGAGTCATGCATTTGTGTAATCAGCTTTGTCTAGCCTGCCCGTTTTCTGATTAGCAACTCTATATTAAATGTTGTAGTTTGGGTCTATAACCCCTTTCTACTTTTTCATCTTCTGTTATGTTACAAACATATACCAAAATGCATTGTCATTTCAATATTACTTGTTTTTACGGAACACGGGATGTGTATTACAGGTCGGATCTGTTACAACCATCTGTTTCACCTACTTTCTAATAAGATGTGTTATGGTAATTTCTTTGCCTTTGTTATGATAGCTATCTTTTTAGTGTTTCATTAAACATTTTTTAAGCTTGTATGCGTATGTCATTGAATATAGATAATTGTTTTAGTTATTTTAATCGAGAAGCTTTGATGAGTTAGAAACCACAAGCAAATACAGTATTATTTTAATCATCTAATGCTTTTGATAAAGCTTTGATAATTGTAGTACTTTGTTCATTAAGGGTACAAAAGTTTTCTCAGGTTTCTGATCATGCTAGGAAAGTTATGCATGTTTATTTATACGAGTGGGTTGTGCATCATTTATCAAATACAGTATTTAGTATACTTTCTTTGATTGGTTTTCCTATTATGAGTTTAAAATCTGGCAGTGTAAATAAATACAACACATGCATGCTTCAATCTTTTCTTCCATCTCCTTCTTTGTTTTGACTTTGATTAATATGTATTTTATATTTTCTCAAGTTAGAATTTGAGTTTGAAACAATAAAAAAGAATAGAAGTTATATCTAGCTATCAATTAATAAATTTTATATTTTCTTTTATTGGAACTCTATCTATGGTCACGGTTTTAGGACCGTACATGTATTAACTTCAATCATTTCCTTTCATACCTGGCTAGCTCCGTTAATTTGGAAAAAAAACAAATGAGTGTTGCAATCAACACTCATTTTTTTCCATATATGTCTGAAAATTACATTAATGCAATGAAGAAAAACCAACCATAGTGCTTACTGAAATTTTTTTCTTTAAATTTGGTGTATCTTCTTTCAGCTTACTATGCAAGGGAAACAACATATTGAATCTTCTAGCAAAGTAAACAATATCAAGCATCATGACGAAACACCGCCTAATGTTCGAGTACGGAAACTAAAGGATCAGCTCATCCAAGCTAAAGTTCATCTTTCCCTTCAGGCAGTTAGGAACATTCCCCATCTCACTCGGGAACTTCGGCTACGGGTAAAGGAAGTTTCACGAACAATTGGAGAGGCAAGCAAAGATTCTGACTTGCCAAGGAAGTAAGTGAGTTTTTAAGAATGTATTTTTTGTACTTGTCACCAGGTTTTCCTATTTTTATATAGCTATTACGTTAGTTATTTCATATTTAGCTTTATTGGGAAGTAGCATACAAATATGCTGAATAGTTCAGGTCTTCATGATCTACATTTTATTCAGTTTGAACTTATATTTGTAATTCTACTAATGCAGTGCAAATGTGAGAATGAAGGAAATAGAGCAATCATTGATGAAAGCAAGGCAAATTCAAGATGATTGTGCCACATCCGTGAAGAAGCTTAGGGCTATGCTCCACTCATCATAGGACCAGCTTCGCGTGCACAAGAAACAGACCTTATTCTTAACACAGTTGACAGCTAAAACACTGCCTAAAGGTCTCCATTGTCTTCCGTTGCGCCTTACAACTGAATACTATAACTTGAACTCTTCTCAGCAACAATTCCCCAATCAAGAGAAGTTAGAAGACCCTGGACTATACCATTATGCAATATTCTCAGATAACATATTGGCCACAGCTGTTGTTGTGAATTCTACTGCTGCCCATGCTAAGGTAAGTTATTTTCACGTGGAGATTTCCTGAGTTGTTTTTATTCGCCAGGATTATGAAACTGAACACCAAATAAAATAATCTGTTATAGTATCTCTCTGCAGTTAAATTACTATTCTCTCAATGTTTTAACAAACTAATATGTTTTCATTTTATTTGTGCCTAGAGGTAGTGATGGATAAAAAATGAAAACAAAAACCTTATCTGTTACAATATAATGGTGGTATTTTTCTTTCTGATCAGCATAATAATAATGTAGTTTTAATAAATTTTCAGGATTCCTCCAAACATGTTTTCCACATTGTAACTGATAGGCTCAATTATGCGGCAATGAGGATGTGGTTTTTGGCCAATCCACCTGGAAAGGCGGCAGTTCAAGTTCAAAACATTGAAGATTTTGCATGGTTGAACTCGAGTTACAGTCCAGTTCTTAAGCAGCTAAGTTCTCCTTCAATGATAGATTATTACTTTAAGGCTCACCGTGCTTCTTCTGATTCGAACCTCAAGTTTCAGAATCCTAAGTATTTATCTATATTGAACCATCTCCGCTTCTACTTGCCCGAAATATTTCCAAACCTCAAGAAAGTGCTGTTTTTGGATGACGATGTAATTATGCAGAAGGATCTTACTGGTCTTTGGTCAATTAACTTGAAGGGAAATGTAAATGGTGCTGTCGAAACTTGTACAGAAAGTTTTCATCGGTTTGATCGTTACCTCAACTTCTCAAATCCTCTTATTGCAAAGAATTTCGACCCCCGTGCTTGTGGATGGGCATATGGTATGAATGTTTTTGATCTGGTCGAATGGAAGAAACAAAACATCACAGAGGTAACCATATATACCAATATTATTGATTTATATTTTTCTAATTATGTTATAGTATCAAAATGGTTATTAATGTATGCAAAAATTTGCAAGTAGTGACAACACCTAGAATAAAGTAAGTGGTTGAAATTGTTTAAGTAGTGACAACACCTAGAAGTGGCTGAAACTGTTTTATTTGTGCGAGCTTTCATTGATATTTCACAAACATACTTGCCTGGGATAAGATTATGGGACCCCCTTGTTTGATAACACTCACTATGTATGCTGTAAATTTATCCATATGATACTGAACACCAAAGAAGATACAACAAGTAAGAGTGTTCATCAAAGTTCATTTACTCCAAAAAATAAACATAAAAGGATAGCACAAGTTATACATACATACATACATACAGTTAAAGGCTATTGTAAGTCCTGAATAGTGAGCCAAAAACAGAATGGTTTTCATAATTGATTTATTTGCTAGTAAGTTCATGTCACCTATTACAGTTTAGAACGAAAATTCACATCCATTAAAAACCTTCATAATTAATTCACATCCATGAGATGTGAAGAATATAAACAATGTGTTTTGCTCATTGGTTTAGTTTTTATTTGTGCGAGGTTTAATTCTTGTTGATGTCTTAATTGTTCTTTGGACCAAAAATACTTATGGTTAATGTGTTTTATTTTATTTTCTTATGCAGCAATGTATCAATGAAGATGTTGAAAAGGACGATATAAATGATGAAATTCAAGAGGACGACATAAATGATAAAATTCAAGAGGACGACCTAAATGATAAAATTCAAGAGGACGACGTAGATGACGAATTTCAAGAGGACGGCATAGATCTAGATGATGAATTTCAAGAGGAGGATATAGATGGTGAATTTCAAGAGGACGACGTAGATGAAGAATTTATGGAGGATGACATATCTAACGAATTTCAAGAGGATGATCTGGATGCTTTACTCCTAGAAGACAAACTTGAATGACTTGGATGATGTCTTTTTTTTGGCTTGTAGTTGAAAGCATTAAACTTGAAATATGATTTTTGTTCTTTTGCTGAACTATGTTTTTAGTTATTTTACTAGGGTCATACTTCAAAGTATTAAAAGTAATATTGTTACGTTAGGAATTTTGTGTACTCTATATACTATATCTTGAATTAAAGTTTGAACTCGATTTTATTATATTACAACTTTTATGGATGTATGGTTTAAGTTATATAATCAATATTATTTTTAAAGCCAATTATTATTGACTATATTATTTTGATAATAATTGCAAAATTGTATATTTTATGTGGACACTATAAAACAACAACCTATAAGTTATGGCTACACTTCAAAAACGATCTTCCTGATTCAGGTTTAAGGCAACGATTGTTAATTGTAGCCGAATTTGGCAACGTAACGCTTAAAAAATGTTGTCTCAGAGGTCGTAAATAATCGTCCCCCATTCCTTTACTATAGGCGACGTTTTTCAAAAGCGTTCCCAAAAAACATTAAAAAAACGTCGCCTCAAACAATAGGCAACGCTCGCACAGGAGACGCCTAGAAAACGTCCCCTATTGTTTTAGGCAACGATTTTCAGAGTTCTGGCAATGTTTTTCAATTGTTGCTGGAGAGCCTAAATGTTGTAGTGATTGTTTTTTTTTTCTTTTTACATTTTCATTTCTTTTAAAGATAGTTATACTCTTACACACACTCATACTCACAATGTAGGTCTACATCCATTCAGGATCCCATGGGTAACGGTTCTGCTATGGCCTTCTGTGACTCTGAAAATCTAATCTACCAAGCCGAAGACGAAGGTGAGGAAGATTGTGAAGTACCATGAGAACTTTCCAAGTTACTACTACAAGAAGAGAGAACCATTCAGCCTCACCAGGAACCAGTGGATACAATCATCCTAGGTACCGAAGAAGACAAAAAAGAGGTCAATGTGGGTGCTAATCTGGAACCCAGTGTCAAAGAGCGTCTGATTCAGTTGCTACACGAATATGTTAAGGTCTTTGCATGGTCGTATGAAGACATGTTAGGACTTGATGCAGATATTGTGGTACATCGTCTACCTACAAAAGAGGACTACCCACCAGTAAAACAAAAGGTCCATTGAATGCGACCAGATATGTCAGAGAATATTAAAGCTGAAGTTGTGAAGAAATTCAACGCTGGATTCTTGGCTGTCACCTCTTACCCACAGTGGGTTGCCAATGTTGTTCTCGTGCCCAAAAAAGATGGCAAAGTACGAATGTGTGTGGACTACAGAGATTTGAATAGGGTAAGCCATAAGGATGATTTCCCACTCCCCCAGGATCAATTCAATCATCTTCATACGAGGCAATAAATAGACAAGATGCTTAGAGATACGAAGGCTATAGCAGAATGGGAACCCCATGGGATTATTGCACATAGCTATCTTTTCTTTGTATCAAAATTTTCATTTTTTTTACCATGGAATTTTCTTACTAGAATGTTTGTCTCATTGTACAAAAATACTTACTCAAAGTCAATACAAATATACCCCTTTAAAAGTGCAAAACTATCTGTTTTTCTTTACTTTTGTTGTTTTGTTTACAAAAATGTCCAAATGATTCATTTTTGAACATATGCATTTGAACATAATTACTGTTTACAAATAAACAAAATAGAAAGACAATCATTGATGGCTTTAAGAGGTGGGGAAATCTCTCTATGCTATTTCCATAAATCCCCCGCAGTGTGCAGTTTAGTCCCCAGCGGAACAAAGCTTCCAGTTATCAATCCCCAGTAGAAGTCACCAAATTTCTCCGGGTTCCCCAAGCAGGATTTTTTTCAAAGCAGTACATGGCATTTCCCTTACAATAGAGTTTATTTCTCCAAGCATAAATTCATCAACACTTATACTTCACAACATGAAGACTTACACTCCATATCCTCAACAGCAGCCAGGGATTTATTTTCCCCAGTTTAACAGCAGTGCAGTAGATTAGCTCACATACGCATACATCGCATCCATATATCATAAACATTGATAACATGAATACATTACACTCTGCATTTCATACAACACGACATTGCATATTAACTAACATTTTACCCTTTTCAGGATAAGGTTAATCAACGGCTACCAGTAACAGTGTTCAGAGATTTCTCAGATACAGTACAGATATCCTCCAGACACAGATGCCATTTTGATACTCATTCAGATTCAACCTTCAGATACAGTACAGATACACTCCAAACACTGATGCCTTTCTGATACTCATTCAGACTCAACCTTCAGATACAGTACAGATACGCTCCAGACACGGATTCCATTCTGATACTCATTCAGATTCAACCTTCAGATACAGTTCAGATACACTCCAAACATGGATGCCATTCTGATACTCATTCAGATTCAACATTCAGATACAGTTCAGATACGCTCCAGACACGGATGCTATTCTGATACTCATTCAGATTCAACTTCCAGATACAATTCGGATACGCTCCAGACACAGATGCCATTCTAACACTTTTTCAGATACAGTTCAGATACGCTCCAGACACGGACGCCATTCTGATGCTCATTCAAGTTCAGCTTATAGATACTGTTAAGTAATCATTTCTGGATGGCATCTACAAGACCATGTCCAACAACTTTCTATCACTTCTCCAAATGGCATTTTTAGGCCCATTCCCTCTACCATCACATCACCAAGTGCAAATTTCTGGGCACTCTGGTGTCCAATCATCTTCCACCTTCGAGTCACGAATGGAAAAACTCACCAATCTAACTCTTCAGGCTTAAGAAGATTGAATATGGGCAGTTGTTGTGCCCTAAAATTTTCCCTCTCATTTATCAATAATTTTCTCACAAGATCTCCTTGGACTCAAGACTGCATTAAGGTTTGATCAGCTCAAGACACCTCCTTAAACACTGATGACCAAAATTAGGGTTTGAGATTGCACAAAGATATTTGAACTTCCAATACACCATATGACTTTCATGTATCATTATGGACCCCCAAGATTACTCATATGAAGTTTCAAGCCTTGGATCACACTTTTGCTCAGTCAATTGAGCAGTTGACCTAAAAATCAGCTGTATTAGGGAAGCAGTCAACTATGGCTAATTCACAGTCAAACTTCATAATTTTTTATCCACATCAACATTTTAGACTCATATGTATCAATTGGTCAAGTTTGGACCACAACTCCTCAAGAAATTTGATCAAATCCCCTAAAGGGCAAAATGGTCAAAATTAGGGTTTTGATTGAGAAAGGGCAATTTCTGATTTTTGACCTAGAAAATGGTTAATTGGTTTAAGGAATGATCTCAAGATTCAAATCGCATCATTTTGAACTAATTACATGGTTCAAAACATTGCAAGTCCATTGGATTGACAAATGAATTTTTCAATCAACTGATCAAAAGTCAACTGTATATTGAAAAATCAAACTTTGACTTTTTGGTCAAATTCAAGTGTCAAAGATCATAATTCATCAAACCATGTCAAAATATTAAACTTATTCATCAATAAATCAAAAAGTCAAGATTTCATTTTGAAAAGTCAAAATTTCTAAACTTAGAAAAAAAATTCTGTTGGAAATTTCATAATTTTTCACAAATTTGAAAAACAATTTCACCATGATGCAAAGTGATTCAAGAGAAACTTCCAACATGAAAGTTGTAGATCTCCATGAAATATACAACTTTTCTTCACACAACTTCTTCCAAAAATGCTTGGATCTCAAGTTATAATTTTAAGAACATAGGGTCATGAAACAAAATACTTAGTGAAATTTTGCCCTAATTTGGTCAGGATTTTGACCCAACTTCATGGAACTTTTTCATATAGTTCCAAGGGGAATATTTAAAATAAATTCAAATATGTGTTATAGAGTACATTGCAAGCTTTCCAAAATGTCCAAGAACTCCTTGAGATCATTTTTGAGTAGGGAGAATCGAAGAGATGAAGTTAGGGTTTTATCACTTTAATTACAAGTCATTTTAGTGATGAACAAAATTCAAATTCAAAGTTGTGTTGCATTAACTCTACTTTACAGGCCTCAAACTTGTTAGGAACTTTATAATTAATGGTTTACACAGCTGTTAGAGGCCTCACTTCAAGCATTCAATGCATGGACATGCTTTTTATCCATTTTTGGAAGAAAGGTTACATTGCCATTTTGATAAAGCAACTTTTTGTACAAAACTTGTTCTTGAGCCTTGCACTTGTTCTCTTCTGATCAAACCATTCCTATAACTCATGAGAAATGTTTCAAACACTTACAATCACTCATCCCATGCTTGTACCTCTCCTTTAAACTTGTTTCCCTCTTTTCTTCAAAATCAAGTAACCTAGCCAAAAGCTAGAAACTTGTACTTCTGACTTGCCAATGCACTCAAACACTTTTGTTTATACATACACAAACCATTATACACAAATACACGAATGCTCAAGCCT